CTGTTTGAGGCTGCTCTTCTCTCCCCTGGTTTCTCACTTGAGGATCCCCAAACCCACTTCAACTGAATCTATCGCATGATCAAACTAGGCCTGGATAATGATGAAGATGAGGTGACAGCAGAGGAGCCCAGTGCTGCTGTTCCTGATGAGATTCCCCCACTTGAAGGTTATGAGTATGGAAGAAGTAGATTAGAGATCCCCTGGGAAGACCATGTCCTCTGTATAGTTTCCCTGTGCCCCTCCCTCCCCAGAAGCCTTGGCTGGCCCTGACCTACTGGTTCTCTGCTCATGCTAGAGGATCTCTTTTATTCTGTCCTTGTGCCTTAAGGTAGGAAAATCCCCTTCCACAGAAGAGCAGGGTTGGGTATTGTGCATTGTGTTTTTTTTGTTTGTTTTGTTTTGTTTTGTTCTGAAATTTAAAGTATGTGAAAATAAGGAAAATGCAGTTTCAAAAATGTATTATTTTATTAATTCTTCAGAATTTATATGCACATACAATGTATTTTGATCATATTCACCTTCCATCCTTTGCTCTAACTCCTCCTAGATTCATCTCTTATCATCTACCTGCCTCTCAACTTCATGGCAACTTAAAAAATTCTTCTGCTTCACATACATGAATGTGGAGCAACCATCAACCACCGATAGTTCCTTAGTTCCTTAGTAGGAGTCAGGGTTCATGAACCTCCCCACCTCCATGCTGGAATGCTGACTGACTTGATCTTGATCTTGTACAGGGCTTATACAGGCAACCACAGCTTTTGTGAGTTAATGAGGGTATTGGTCTTGTTTTGTCTCTAAATATTGTTTAATCCTAGTTATTCTTGATCTCTGGTTTTTGCATCTTTATTCCCACTTTTCTTTTCTTTTTCTCTCTGCCCTCAAGTATTTGTTTTAAATTTAAATTAGAAACAATTTTTATTTTATATATCAATCCCAGTTCTTTCTCCTTCCTATCCTCCCATTCCCCCTACTGACCCCCCCACCCCATCCCCCCTCTGCTCCCCAGGGAAGGTGCAGCCTTCCATGGGGCTTCATCAAAGTCTGTCATATCCTTTGGGGCAGGGCCTGGGGTGGAGTAGGGGGACCCTCCCCATCTAGGCTGATAGAATATCTCTCTAAGGAGAATGGGCTGTCAAAGTCCATTTGTACACTAGTTCTGCCCTGTTTTCTATGATGTTTCCTGAATGCTGGTGGTAGAGAATGTGATACAGTTGTCCTACTTGTGTCTGAGCATGCCACAGGTACTTATTCCTGTCCTTTTGTTGTTGTTGTTGTTGTTGCATTCCTACACTAACCAGCATCCACTGCAGAAGCTTCTCTGGTGCTGTCTGAAAACTGTACTAATCTGTGGGTATGGAGATACAAATCAGAACATGAAACAATGTCCACTTAGCAAATAAACAGCAGGTTCACCCCTGGGGTCTATGAGCTTCCAAGTCATATATATTCTTGGTCATGTTTACAGTACCAGGCAGTCATTCTCTCTTGGGGAGTGAGCTTTAAATCCAAACAGAGAGTAGTTGGTTACTACTATAATATTCATGCTATTATTGCATCTGTGAGCATGTCTTGCCAGGCCAGTTGTTATTGTAGCACTCAGAGTTTACAGCTGGGTAAAAATGTTGGTGACCTTTCTCTCACTGCAGCCTACATAGCACCTTCTGATACTATGAAAGTTAGCCAGCTTCCTGAACAGTGCCACTGTGATTTCTCCAAGTGCTGTGACCAAAGTGTGTGGTGTCTTTAGGGGTAAATTTTTATTATCTAGTTCGGGTGGGCAATCAGGAACAATGGCGATAGCCTATATTGTTTTGGGAGTCTCTAGGACATCCCTGATCAATAACTCAAGGGGATTTATTTCGTACCTGGCATTGGGCTTCTTAATTTGTCAACCTATGACTTCTGGAGGACCATTATCCCCATATGTAGGGTAACTCCAATTAAACTCTCTTATAAACAAACAAACCAACAATGAATGAATGTCTGTAGACGTATTTTATGAAGTTTATAAAATAAGTTTTCATATGGCGCTTCATTACTGTTAATTATCCCTTCTAGTCTCTATTCTCCCATCTCTCTCTCCACTTAAATCTCCCTCCTTATTTCCCATTTCCCCTTCCTTAAGATATCCCACCAAGGCCCCTTTCTAGTTAAACACACACACACAGACACAGACAGACAGACAGACACACACACATACAATTGACTCTAGGATTTGCATATATGGTGTTTTTCTGGGTCTAGATTGCCTCACTAAGTATATTTTTTCCAGTTCCAACCATTTATCTCAAAAATTCATTCATGCCACACACACACACACACACACACACACACACACACACACACACACACACACGAGGAAGACATTATCTGCCTTTTTGTAATGAATCTAATTTGCTTAATATGATCTCTAGCTAATTTCATGTTTCAGCAAATGACATAATTTCATTCTTCTTCATGGCTGAATAACATGCCATTGTATATTTGTTCATATATCCACTCATCTGCTGATGGACATGCAGGTGGATTTCGTATTTTAGCTATTGGGAATGGTTCTGCAATAAACATAGACATGCTGGTCTCTATAGTATGCTGTCTTATAGTCTTTAGAGCATATACCAGCAGTGGTATAGCTGGGTCACATGGTAGTTCTGTTTCTAGTTTTTGATTTCCATAGTGGCAGAAACACTTATACTCCCATCAGCAGTGTAAAGGGTTGCTTTCCCCCACATTCTTGCCAGTGTTTGTTTGTTTTTTAAATGACTCTGACTGAGATGAGAAGGTACTTTAACGTAGTTTTAATTTGCCTTTCCCTGATTGCTAAGGGAATTGAACTTTTTTTTGTCTGTTGGCCATAACTTCTTTATCCATTGAGTTGTCTTTTTTAGTTGTTTATAACACTCAAGATATTAATCTTAAATCCTCATCAAAGTTCTGATGACATTCTGTGAAAAATAGAAAAAATCCAGAATTCATATAGAATCACAAAAGATTCTGAATAGCCCAAGCAATTCAGAGAAAACATGAACAGTGCTGACTGGAGGCATCATAATAACTGATTTCAAACTATATTCCAAAGCCATAGTTACAAAACCAGCATGATAGTGTTTCAAAAACAGGTTTATAGATCAATGGAATAGAAGACCCTAAAATTAATTTCACACAGCTATTGATAAATACTTTAAAAATATTAATTTTTATTTATTTTCAAGAATATATACATATATATACATATATAATACATACATATCTATAACACAAATGACTATATCCACCTTCTTGTTTTCCCCTCCAACTTTCCTCAAATCCCCTAACACAGGGTCCTCCTAACTTCTTGCTGTTTTTTGTTTTTAAGTTATCTGCTAAGCCCAGTTAGTGCTAAACATATTTGTTTGGGTGTGTTTGTGGGGCCATCCATTGGAGCATGAGAAATCTGACAGTGGCACACACTTAAAAAAAAAAAAGAAAACAGAATGACACTGTCTCCCAAGAAGACAGCAATTGTCAAGAGCTCCCAGTTAGAGGTGTGTCTTGGAGATCACCCCACCCCATCTAGTCTGGATGTTTTAGCCATATGAATTTTTTGACAAAGACATCAAAAAAACATACACTGAGGAAAAATGAAGTATTTCTACCTTTCACCTTGAATCAAAATTAATTCGAAATGGCTTGAGACCCCAAACTTCAAAACAGTTAAAGGAAAACAAAGAGGAAAATACTCCTAGATATCGGCCCAGGCAAAGACTTTTTTGAATAAGGTTTCCAGTAGTTCAGGAAATAATATCGAGGTTTGGCAAATTGGATGTGAGAAATTGAAAAGCTTTGTATGGTAAAGGAAACAACTGAGTGAGGAGACAGCACACAGAACCGGAGGAAATAAGTTTTCCTCCCTGCCAGCCTCCTACCCCTCCTCCTTTCTTTATTTCAACTGTCCTGGAGCTCATATTGCTCTGCCTTAGTCTCCCCAGCACAGGGATTACAGGCTTTGACACAATACCTGAGTTACACATTGTTTTCAACAGTAAGATCTTGTTGATAAACAGAAATTCAATGACATTGGTCTATTAACCTTATATCTAATTACATTACTATACTATGCTAATAATTCTAATAATCTTTATGTAGGTTTTGTTTTGTTTCCCTTTGTGTAAGCAAACATTGTGTGAACAAACTTACAGCTTAATTTTTCCATCCCAATAATTTATTTCTGAACATTTCTTTACTCATTAGAGCTAAAATTTCTATGTTGTGCTTTTAAGTCCTTACACTTTTTAAGCCCTTAGCACTGCTGATATTGTATTGTTTTTGTCTGATGACTTGTCAGTCTTCTTTACTAGCCCATGAATTCTTTGAAAACATAGACTAACTGCCTCTAAGTCTATGGTATGCAGTAAGACTTGGCCTAGAGTGAATGTTTGACAATAATAGTAAGTACCCATCGAGCACTGGGCTGTGCACTTTACATAGGATATTACATTTTATTCTCTTCTTAACATAAGATATGTGTAACCATTGTTTCCTTTTTAAAAGCAAACCAAGTAAACAATTTACCAAAGGCTGTGTAGCCAGGAAGAAGCAGAGGTTGGATTTGAACTCAGACTTAATCTTTAATATTATTAATGACTCTGTATTAATGACTTTTCTCTTGCTGTTATGAAATACCACGATCAAAAGCAGCTTACAAAAGAAACTGTTTTATCTTAAGGTTCCAGAGGGAGAGTCTATAAGGCTAGGAAGTCATGGCCAGAGCAGGAAGCAGAGAGATAACATCTTCAACTGTAGAAAGGCAGCAGCAATAACAAGCAGGAAATGGGGCGAGGCTATAACCATCCCCCAAACCAACCTCAGTGATGTCTTCCTCCTTATCCTTGTCCTCTCAAACAGCACCACCAAGTGGCCAAGTGGGGACCAAGTGTTCAAACACAAGAGCTTGTAGGGGACATTCTTTTTTTTTCTTTTTCTTTTTCTTTTTTTTTTTTGAGACAGGGTTTCTCTGTGTAGCTTTGGAACCTATCCTGGCTGTCCTGGCACTCACTCTGAAGACCAGGTTGGCCTCGAACTCACAGAGATCTGCCTGCCTCTGCCTCCTTCAGCAAATCCTACTGGTGTGCACCACCACAACCTGGGGACATTCATATTTAAATGAGTTCATTCACTATTTGTCACTGCTCCCCTGGTGAGTTAATGAGTGGATAGATGGAAGTATTGGGCCACCTCCTTCAGTCTCTAAGAGCTTCAGGAAGATCTCCTGTGTCTCTTATTTCCACAGAGATCTGCGTACAAGGTTACCAGTTCTGGGTATCTCAGGAAGTCCTACTAGTCTCCATGGCAACATGGTGGGTCCCATTTTGCAATGTGTCTTTGAGGACAGTACTATGCCAGGGATTCAGAGTCTAGCTGTCGACCACAGAAAGTGCAGTCCTAGGAAAGCCTTACCATTTCAGGCAACTTGGGAGGTGTGAGTTAAGACTTTTCCTGGTTTTAGGAGTGACAGACAGCTCTGATCCCCCAGGGGTCATATTCTCACCACAGACCCCAGCTACAGATTTGGATTTGAACTTTGTGTGCTTTTTGGAAGTGATGCGCTTGAGGAGCAGAAAGAAGAATTATGATAAGAGGTACAATGATTGTGCACCTGCAGGTCTTTCTGGATGTGGCCTTTGCCCAGGAAGGGCTGAAAAACTGGGAGCCTTGAAGCCGGCTAGTAAACAGAAGAGCCTTCCCTGACTTCTCTGGGCACACACAGTCTCCGTTCTGCCCAAGTACCTTCCTGAAGTTTGGCTCTCTCTTCCACTGGATTAGAACTACTCAAGTGCAGGGCCAACTTGTCAGATCTTCCTGAAGTTTCACAGTGCCCAGAACTGTAGGAGAAAGAGTATCAAGACTGCTTGTATTTGAGGTTAGCTTAGGGTTTCCAAAGTGTCCCTGTCCCAGAGGCATCATCATTTGGGATTCACAGCATCTCTGGGGTTGTTACTCCATCTTACTGATAAGCAGACAGGCTCAGAGAGGCAAAGGGTTGCATGCAGCTTTATCCGGCTGCTGGGTAGCTGGGGCTATACGTGCTACATCACATCTGTTTCCTTGGGGGATTTGGGTAGCCAGCAGAGAGATGCCTGGGTTTTTAGCATCTTGCTACTCTCTCCCTAGTGGAGCCTTCTCATTTTGGCCAGCAGATGGAAGCACTGATACGTAGAGACATCTAGTTTAGCTTGGTTCAGGTTCCTCCTTACTGGCTGTGATCCGAACTTCCGCAGAGTTTTAGGCAGATAGTAAGCGACAGATATTTATCGAAACACAGTGTAGCCTAGTCATAATTACACGTGTCACTTTCAACCTTAAACAAGTCTGCCTGACAGGGTGTTTCAGAGATTGTCAGTTGCCTGTGGCCTAGGAGTTAGTATATGATTTGCCTGGGATTTGAGTTAGGTTTTCTGGTTCTGAAGGATTGTTTCTGTCTGTAAGAAGGCCCCCTCCCCAAAAAAATGCTGATTAAGTGACTCCATGGCGCAGAGCATGCCTTAAGCCTGAGACCTGTAACCTTTATTTTCTTAGAACAAAAATTGTCATTCTTTCACATCTTTAATTTTTAAAAATTTCGTGACCCAATGAGAGTTATCACAGGACCGTGGCTAAAGGATTGCTTACGGGAGCAAGGATACCTTAGCAATGGCTGAAGAAAATTCTCCCCCATCAGTTACTAATTACACACAAATCCTCAGTGAGGGATGGAACACCATGAACCCTTTTCCCTTCTAAAACAATGTGTTGATAGGCCTAATCATATGCAGATGTTGGGAAGGCGATCATAGCTGCTGTGAGGTTAGGACCAGAACTCAGTGTTCCACATTGATTCTTTATCTATTATATTTTTCTTCTGCCTTGTTGACGGATCTTTGGGTGGGGTGGGAGATTGGTAGAGATGTTTCATTCACGGCTCAGTATTCACTCAATAGAAATTTGTTATCTGGGTGGCTGGAGAAATTGTTCAGTGGTTAAGGGTACTGACTGATCTTCCAGAGAACCTGGGTTCAATTCCCAGCACCCACATGGCAGCTCTCAACTGTTTGTAACTCCAAGATCTGACACCCTCACCCAGACATATATGCAGGCAAACACCAAATGCACATAAAATAGAAATAAATAAATTAAAAAAATCTGTGTTTTGGCTAGTTATGAGTCGCTTCATCACCACTGATGAATACAAAAGGAAGGTCCCTGACCAAAACTGACAGCAGCATTCCTCCACAGACATAAACATAGTTATGTAGAAGTGAATTTGATATGCACATCCTGTTCATTTAACAAAACAATGGCCATTGCTTTCCCACTATGACCTCCCCAGCCACGAGGCTTTGACCTGGTTTAGAGCATCATAGTTCGGAATTTTGTTTTGCTTTATCTTTGTTTTTAGATCTGATCATTCATTTACTACTTTAAAAAACTTACTTTTTACTGAAAAAATTTTCATGCATTATGATCATGCTTTTCCCCTCCCCCAACTCCTCTCAGATCCTCCTCATCCCCTGACCCCCTTTAAAAAATTAACAAAAGCAGCCAAATAAGAATAAGAAGCACAACACCCCTCCATCACAAAAATTTAAAAACAGAAACCAAAATATACAAGCCAAAAATCAATAAGATAAAAAAACTGTTCAAAGAAAACAAAATGAGAGAAAAAGTCTACAAAGATACTATTGAATTTGTCTGGACATGAGACCTACTCTGAAGTGGTTAATATACCCAATGAGACTCCCCTGGAGAAAACTGATTTTTTTCCTTTGCCGTTGAGTATCAGTTACAGATATCTGCCTGGCTAGACTTGGGATCTAATCCATTTTCACTCTTTGTTGGGACCCTATCTGGCCTGCACTTGTGCAGGTCCCATGTGTGCTGTCACAGTATCTACGAATTCACATGTGTGTCAATTGTGTTGTGTCGGGAAAGCACTGTTTCCAGGAGTCATCCACCATCTCTGGCTCTTATAATTTTTCCTCCTCTTCTGCATAGATTCCTGAGCCTTTAGAGGAGGGTTGATGAAGACATCCCACTTACCTGAGTGCTCCAAAGGCTCTCACTCTTAGAGACTTATTCTTGACTGGACCCAGGCTTGGATGTAGAAGCTCTTGTGGAGGACACGCTAGTGTTTGTGTTGTAGAACATGTGGAGTCACAAGATTCTGGATCTTGGGGACTTTGGTACTGGACTTCTCACCTTCTTTGTTTAAAGCTTTCTGTGAACATATTGGCGGACATCATCTTCTTTAGAGAGGTTGAAAAGATTAGGATTCTGCTTGCTCTTTTGATCTCCAACTGCTGAGACACAGTAGTAGCTGTCACCCCATGTATATATGAGAAAAGGATAGTATATATATATGTATATATTTTAAGAGAATATATATGTATATAAAACACACACACACACACACACACACACACACACACACACACACACATTGAAAGGCTCAGACATTACGCTGGCCTGCCCTGTTACCTGGCAGTATGCACTCAGGCCGTTCTCTGGCTAGCCCAGAGTTCTGTGAGAACCAGTCTACTACACGCAGGTGCAAAGGACCCCTTTAAAGGACTGACCCCTGCCCTCTTATGCTCTCTCTTACTCTTTTAACTCCTCTTACTCTTTTAACTCCTCTTGTCTTACTCTCATCCTCTCTCTCTCTCTCTCTCTCTCTCTCTCTCTCTTTCGCCCCCCCAGCTCTGCATGGGTTGGTTACCTCTCACCCCCCCCTTTCCTTTCCTGTCCACCAATAAAACTCCACGTGGGATCGTTGAGTTATGGTTTGTGTCTCGTTACTGGGTAAACCTAGACATTTTAACAACACACATCAAGTTAAGAACACTAAAACTGACATCCATCATGCATCCAGGAACAAACTTGTGCATCCTCTTTCTAGTCTCCTTGGTCTACAACAAAAAATCTCCTTATTCAACAGCAGGCTCTCTCTGCTGTGAGTCAAGACACCCCGCTTCATGGGAAAGCCTTGTTTGTCCTTCCCACTGATTTAGACCACACAACCCTATCATTCTTCAACCAGAGAATCAGCACTTCTTACAGAAAAATGCAAGGTTTGCTTTTCATCATCCACTCCAATGTGTTTCTGATGGCTGGTGGCTGGGAAGGAGATATTCATCTTATCCTGACATGGCAAATCGCCTAGGAGACACTAAAAGAAAAAACAGTTCAGGAATTTTGATCATTGGAGAAACCATTACTCACCCTGGATGTCTGGCAGAGCTCCAATGAGTTTACAAGTCAGTTCTAGAGACATTCTAAGTCTGCAAGTTGCCTGCCTGTTCCTGCAGGGATGAACTCTGGAGTATCTACATGTTTGCAGATCTAGAGCAAATATGTATGCACCAGTGGAAACCAAAGCCTGCAGAGTTGAGTTAGATACTGTGGGGTAGTCATTCATGACACTAGGGAAGAAAGTCATTGTCTAAATGGTATCAAACAAGCAAACTGACATACATGGAAGGGTTTCCTCAAGGGTTACTGTACCCTTTGGTTCTCAAAGACAGTCACCTGGGATCTGTTTCAGTGCATGGTGAGGGAAAACCAACACCACTCATCTCACTTCTATCTTTTTCAGCACTCTTCCTACCAAGAGTTGAGGTTCAGGGCTAGAGCGATGGCTTAGAGCTTTAGAGCACTGGCTATGCTTCCAGAAGACCTGGCTTCAGTTCCAGCATCCATATGGTGGCTCACAAGCCATCTGGAACTCCAGTTCCAGGGAATCTGATGTCATCTTTTGGCCTCCATGGGCACCACACATTCATACAGTGCACATGCATATACAAAAAATAAATATTGAAAAAAGGGCTGAATTCAGTTCCATACCTCCTTGGGTATGAGATGCTTTTTGGGATTTGCAATAAACACAAGGAAAGCCCAGATGATGATGTTTGTTTGGGAGACTATGCTACCGTCTCTATTAGGGTCTCTTTTATTGCATACTTGGTTTTTTAGTCTAGCTGCCATATGATGAGGAAGGCTAGCTCAAACAGAGAAGGCACCCCAACATTACAGAGGAACTTCGGGTGACTGTCCAGGTAGCAAGATGTCTCTGTCAATTTTAGTGTTTATATTTTATTCTTCTGTGGTCTTTGATGGAGTTGATGACAGATAGTTATAGTTATAGTTTTTCTTAGTAATGACAAAAGATAAGCTACACATAAGACTTTAGACTCACACGGATAGGATAGATGATAACATGCTTTCTTTAAATTTTACTAAATGTTAATGCACAAAATATTGTAACTGTAGTTCTTACTTGATAACTGTTTTGTTATATATAATTTGACTATGTTAAAGTTAAAACCTTTCTTTTTATTTAGACAGAAAAGAGGAGATGATGGGGAAGGCCTTTTGTGTATATGTTGTCTCATTGGTTAAATAATAAAGCACTGTTGGCCAAAAAAAACCCAGAGAAGGCAGGTATAGGTCCTCCTGCAGCAGAGGTTTCAGGGGGACGTGCATACAGTGGTGTATGAGTGAGCAAGCCTTCCAGGGGACTCTATTCCCAGCCGCCATCTAACTGCCATTTCTCTACAGTCTGGGACTGCTGTCTTCCTCTGCTGCTGCTCAGCAACACACACACACACACACACACACACAGAGAGAGAGAGAGAGAGAGAGAGAGAGAGAGAGAGAGAGAGAGAGAGAGAGAGAGAGAGAGAGAGAGAGAGAGAGAGAGAGAGGAGGTGGTGGAGAAGGAGGAGGAATTTATTGTTCTCCTTAGTCTGGCAAAGCCTTTCTAACACTAAGTAAGTTTGTGGTCAGCAGTATGGGGATTTGGTACCATGGAATGGGGTCTTCTTTCTTTCTTTTTGATATAGGATCTCAGGTATCCCATGCTGGCCTCCAATTTATCATATAGCCAAGGATACTCTTGAGCTTCCAATCCTCCTGCCACAATCTCTTATTTAAGACTCCAGAGATGCACAATCACGCCTGATTTATGTGGTTCTGGGTAGGGAACCTAGGGCTTTGTGAATGCTAAGTAAGCTCCCTGCCAACTGAGCTATACCCTCAATCCCCAGACTAGGTGATTTCTAAAGAACAGAAATTTATTTTTCATAGCTCCATTCAAGATGGTGAGATCAAGACATTATCAGTTTCAGTATCTGGTGAGTTCTTACACGGTGAAGGAGCTCTCTGAGGTTTCTCTTATAGGGGCACTAATCCTTTTATGAAGACTCCTGTGTCATGATCCCACCCCAAAGCCCCAAATCTGAATACAACCACACTGTTGACAAGGTTTCAATCTATGAATTTGGAAAACAGAAACAGTAAGCTATAATTATCCAAGTCAACTTCTAAGAGTCTCAACACTGACTCTGGGGCTCAAGTGTCTGTTAGGGATCATTAGACTGTGCAGGGCTCTATTTCATCCTTTGCTGTCAGTTCAGGGAGGTGCCTGTTGCTTCATCGCTCAGTTCCAAGCACAAGGACTCTCCAGGTCTGTCTGTCTCTCAGCACCGAGCACACAGTGACTTCTGGGTTTCTAAGACCCAGGAGTCTATAAGCACCATACAGCTCCATGACACTTTCCCATTGCAAAGAAACACATATGTGTGATAGTCAGCTTTTTGCTGCTGTAACAAAATATCTGAGGACACAACCTAACTGAGGAGAGGCTTATGCTGGCTCATAGTTTCAGAGGACTTAGTCTCTGGTCAGTGACCTCTATTGCTTTCAGACTTGTTGTGAGACAAGAACATGGTGACAGCAGAGCATGTCGGAGGAAAGTGGCAGAGAGAGGAGAACAGAATAAAGAGACAGGGAACATGTACGTCCAAAGGCATGCCCCCAGTGCTCCCTTCCTAACCTAGGTTCTACCCCTAAAACAGCCTATTTAGCCATGCATCCATCATTCATTGGTTATACCTTTCAAGCCATGGCTGCATGCCGTCTTTCCCTCCCGAGTTCCATGTAGGGGTGAGATAAGGAATGCTTCCTTTCAACTTACTGGTTTTCATCTCTTCCTTCTTTTTCCTCTCCTCTGCTGGGCATTATGTTCTGTTCTGTCTTAACCGTGGGAAAGCGGCTTCACTGTATTCCTCCAAATCTGATACTTGGGCTTATGCTTCAAATCTTCAGGCTTGGGCTTTTGAATCCTCAAATCAAAAACTTCACTTTGATTGCAAAGACCTGCAGGACCAGCTTCTGAGAAGGGGATGGGACGGGAAGAGGGAAGTAAACACCACTGTTTGCTTGGCCAAGGTAATTCCATCTCAAGATTCTTCTCTTATTTTGTTCTCTAACTGAAAGAATGCTCTCATCCTAAGAACAGGTCCACAGTCTTCCTGGGCCAACTGGACAAGGCTGCAGAAAAACAGCATTCTTCTTCCTGCTATATGCACTTACAAAGCTATGCAATCAGAACCAAGGTGTACACAGTCCTTAGGAATGTTAGAAGAGGGACTGGAGAGAGACCGGTTACCAGCACAGACTGTAGAAGGCTTCTCGATGGGACTGCTGTCTTAGCTGGAGTCAGTGTTCTAGTCTCAGGCTGTCCTGGGCCTTCTCCAGGTGAGAAGGATTTACGGGGTACAGGAAAAGAGGGCACCAAGTCAGCCCTTAGGAATCAGCAAGTGGCAGGCCTGAGAAGCAAAGGGTTTGGCTCTTATCCCAAGGGAAAGAGGTGTGAGCCCATCAGAAAGTCTAGGCTGGGTAATTTACCGGGTTCCCTCACTTGAAGTGCCTACCATTCTTCCTTCTGTGGGAAGGATTTCTGGCTTTGCTCAGCCTAGCATTCAGTGTCCTCTCCCTCTGCCCCTGTGTTGCTCTGCACTTTCAGTACAACCACCCCAAACTTGCAGGCTTCTGAATACTTTCTTCTCTCTTCTACCTCTGAGCCTTTATCCTTGCTTGGAAGGGGCCTCTTTCTCTTGCTTGCCCCCTCTGGCTGTCTCACTCTATCTTGCAGGTTTCGAGTCTGTAGCTATCTCTCCAAACCAAATCCAGAGGCTGAACCACAGCATTCTATCTGTTTGTACTTCCATGCATGTTTCTCCTGTTTCTAGTGTTTCCAGGCTGACCTTTGAACTGAAGGCTTAATCCCTAAACCAGATCTGCCAGGGATGGTGGTTAAGTTCCTCCTTGGCTTGTTTGCTGTGAGCAGGTGGGTGGAGTTGGTAGTCCCTGGGCTCTGAAGTGGATTTCCAACTCAAGGTTCAGGACATGCAGAATGTAATAAGATTAGTATGTATACAATTAGATAGTTACAAATGAAGGTGTGGACTCTGGGAGGGACATAAGCTTCATTCTAGCTTCTAAAGGCTTGGGTTCTGTCTCAGAGTCAGATGACCTGAGACCTAACCTAGCACCAATCCTGATAGGCTGTGTGGTCTTGACAAGCTCCTCCTCTTCTATAGAGCCTTGGTTTTCTACAATAGAGCCCAGAGGCCTTTGATTGGCTCTAAATTGTTGTCTCAGTTCCTGGTTACTCCATGCCATCTGTGATGGCTTCTAGGTTGCCCACCGTTTCTCATTCATGTCTTTTATCAGTACATCTCCCCCACTGCTCAAGGCCTGTCACCTTCTCAGAGAAGTTTCCAGTGTCATCACTGGCCCCCTCAGAACATGCTTTATCTCTACTGAGCTCTCACACCCCTACTTCACCTGGACATAGCCAGTGTTGCACTGCAGCTCATATGCCACATGTATGTTCGGATCCTTTCATCTAATTGTTCCTTCCAGGATTTATTAATTATTATTATTTAAAATACACATCTTATTTATGTATATGCATGTGCCTGAGTGCATGCGTGTGCCAGGGTGCAGGAGGCTGCGGAGGTCTGAAGAGATTTCATATTCCCTGAAGCTGCAATTACTGCCTGGGGGTGGTGGTGGTGGTGGTGTGAGGTACCGGGAACTAAACCCAGGTCCCCTGAAGGAGCAGCAAGTGCTCTTAACCACTGAGCCACCTCTCCAGCCCCAGATTTTATTTATTGTCTTTTACTTTTTAAAAGTTTCAGCAGATTGGAGTCAGGACAGAGCTGTCGATGAAGCAAAGAAACATAGATACTCAGAAAGTTCTTGAAGCTTTTGGAAACTTTGCTAAGCCTAAGTATTGCTCATGCACCCAGCAGCCAGAGGTCAGGGTCAGGACTCACAGGGGACTGAACATACAGCAGCTTAGCAGCCTGGTGGGTCCTGCTTGAGCTCAGAGAGGTGCAATATATTGGGTGTGGGTACCCCAAATTCATTTGTTAATCTTGGAAAATATTCAAAAGTAGAAAAGAGGAAGAAAATGACAGAGGATAACAGCCAAGAGATGAAGCTATCCTGTCTCTCACTGAATCAATCTCCTTTCTCCCTTTCTTTAGATCTAGAGAGGATAATCCATCCCTCCATAAAAGTGTGGCTGTAAGAGTTGTGCCTTACTCAAGTTGATGTGCCTTCTTGCCCCATTTGATGTGATTTAGGACCAAGCAATATGTGTTTAAATGATCTGAAGATAGGATACACAGGAGTGTGGTTGGCACTGGGAATGGAATGGAATGCCTAACAGGGACCCTGTGTTCCCTGGGATGCTCATTAGTTGCTTAAAAATGGAAAGGCACCTGGCTTTTTGGGAAATGAACAAAACCGTGCACCTGGGCTGGGGAGGAACTTCACAGAAGAATATTTTGTGTTACAAAATGATGGATGAAAATTAGATTCTATGAGAAAGAAGTCACAGCATGATTCACAGTGTGCTCTTTAACTTAAGAAACTGACTACTGAATCCCCCGAGGCACTGGATCAGAGCAACTGACTCTGAATGCAAGTGACTTCTAGGTAGTATATTATTAGTCATCTTCTTTACTACACACTGCCAGGTTATCCACCAGTCACATATCATCCCTTCATCTGGGGAAGATGAGCACGTTGATAATATATTGCTTTTAATTGCAACAAGATTACATCCAATCAGAGAAGGAAATGTGTACACAGAAAGATGGGAGACAAGGAATGGAAACTTCTCAGGAAGAGGCAGGGATGTCTTTTTCAAGGGTCATCAGCCTGTGCATGACTAAAGCCTTGGAAATGGAGAGGACCCCATGGACTGCAAGTGGCATAAGAAGAGAGGCAGGGTTTTATGTGTGGCTTGAGTTTTAGTAATGTTTCTTTTACGAATGTGGATGCCTTTGTATTTGGGTCATAGATGTTCAGAATTGAGACTTCATCTTGGTAGATTTTTCCTGTGATGAATATAAAATGACCTCCTTTATCTCTTTTGATTGCTTTAAGTTTAAAGTCTAGTTTGTTAGATATTAGGATTGCTACACATGCTTGTTTCTTGGGACCATTTGATTGGAAAATCTTTTCCCAACCCTTGACTCTGAGGAAATATCTGTCTTTGAGACTGAAGTGTGTTTCTTGCATGCAGCAGAAAGATGGGTTCTGTCTTCAAATCCATTCTGTTAGCCTGTGCCTTTTTATGGGTGAGTTAAGACCATTAATGTTGAGGGATATTAATGACCTTTGATTGCTCGTTCTCTTTTGTTTTAGAATGGTTGTTCTTGGTGGAATTGTATGTATATTTCTATCCCCTTTCTCTTTTGGGTGTTGGTAAAGTGGGATTATCTCCTTTTTTCTGGTTGTAGTTAACTTCCTTGGACTGGAGTTTTCCTTCCAGAACTTTCTGTAGGGCTGGGTTAGTGGATATGTATTGTTTAAATCTGGTTTTGTCATAGAATATCTTGTTTTCTCCATCTATAGTGATTGAAAGCTTTGCTGGGTATAGTAGTCTGGGCTGGCATCCATGGTCTCTTAGTGTTGATAGAATATCTATCCAGGACCTTCTGGCTTTCAGAGTTTCCATGGAGAAGTCAGGTGTAATTCTTATAGGTTTGCCTTTATATGTTATTTGACCTTTTTCCTTAGCTGCTCTAAGTATTCTTTCTTTATTCTGTATGCTTCGGGTCTTGATTACTATGTGGCGAGGGGACTTTTTTTGTAGTCCACTCTATTTGGTGTTCCTTATATGATTTCGTAGAACCTTCATTCAGTGACTGATGGAAACAGAGACAGATACAGATAAACACTGAATTGACCCCCTGGAACCCAGTGACAGAAATGGAGGAGTGATTAGCAAAGGGGTCAAGACCATGCAGGTGAAACCCACAAAGACAGATGACTGGACAAGGGGGAGCTCTTGAACCCCAGACTGATGACTAAGAGGCCAACAGGAGACTGATCCAGGCTCCATGAATGTAGTGTCAGTGAGGAGGCCTCAGAAATCTCCGGGGCCTTGGGTAGTAGATTAGTGTTCACCATGACATACAAATGAACTTTGGGAGCCCATTCCACATGGAGGGATGCTCTCTCAGCCTGGACACATGGGGAAGGGCCTAGGTCCTGCCCTGGATGAAATGACAGACTCTGGAGATCCCCCCAAGGAGGGCCTCACCCTCCCTAGGGAATGATGTAGGGATTGGGCTGGGGGGTGGGAGGGTGGGGGTGGGGCTGGTGGAGGGACAAGGGGGTGGAGCTGGGATTGACATTTGAAGCATACATGCTTCTAATTTAAATAAAAATAGTTAAAAAACAAAAACAAACAAACAAAAGAAAGAAAAGAGGTAGAAGAGAAGGGTTTCCCTGTCATGATCTTGACTCCCATTGCTCATATAATCCCTCCTCCTTCTCTTCCACTGGACTCCTGGAACTCAGCCCAGTGCTTGGCTGAGGATCTCTGCATTTGCTTTCATTAGTTATTATGATGACAATTAGGGTAGTTACTAATATGATTATAGGAGAAGGCCAGTTCAGGCACCCTCTCTACTATTGCTAGAGTCTTAGCTGGGATCATCCTTGTGGGAATTCCTGGGAGTTTCTCTAGCACCAGGTTTCTCCCTAACCCTATAATGACCCCCTCTATCAAGATATCTCTTTCATTTCTCTCCCTCTCCATTCTTCTCCCAACTCAACCATCTTGAAACCTCATCCCCCAACCCCTCTCCTCTACTCCCCCAGTTAACTCAGGAGATCTCATCTGTTTCCCCTTTCTAGGGCCATCCATGCATCCCTCATAGAGCCTTCCTTTCACCTAGCTTTGCTGGGGCTGTGGATTTTACCTTATCCTTTGATTTACATTTAATATCCACTTGTGAGTGAGTACATGCGGTGTTTGTCTTTCTGGTTCTAGGTTACCTCACTCAG